TCTGATAGGATGATAGAGCTGTTGCATTTTTTGGGCACGGGTTTTCCTTGTCGTCTAGTGGGTACAGGGCAAAACACTTCCTGCAGCAGGCTTGTGTAGTCAGATCAGGGTTGAGTCCAAGACGGTTAAAGACTGCTTCACGGGTGTGAGGTATCTGAGCTACCATTCTTGACACATCAGGGGTCTTATCTTTAGTACTCCAGATTTTCGAGAGCAATATAGCGTTTTCACGAGCTGCTTGTAGAAAATCGGATGCGCCTGACTTGCTGAGCCGATTTTTTAGTACCGACTGCGCCATCTGCACCATAACTTGTTTGCAGAAATCTTCCTCCAGGAACAGAGGCTGGACACTGCGTTTGGACTGCTGACACGGCAACACAGTAGAGCCAGATGGCGCCCCCTGTGTGTGATTCATAAAAAATTGTAACATCTGATGATCAGCATCACCCCTCATGTAGATATGGGATTACAACAGCTTACTCCAGATGAGGCGTCAACTCCAAGCTGCTGCAAAGGGAATGTTGCTGCCACCTTTGATTGTAACTGTTCTTCTGTACTTTGGTGAGCTCGATACACACCCCTTGAAAGTACCCTCCCTGGAACCACCCCGATACCTTCTTCTTCATGCTGGGTTCTGTTGCATCCGTACGATGTACAATGACATACATACATGGGATTTAGGTTCTTCATGGAATCTGACGTATAAATTTGACAAGGGATGAGAGCAGTGCAGGAAGCTTGAGTTGCGAAATAACAGGAGTAATTTTTGAGATATAGGATATGTCTTCCTTGTTTGATAAATAGATTATACGACTGGTTTAAATATATTTGTTGGTTGACCTTTCAGCCTCACACATGAGGTTTGTAAAACCGCATTGCATCATTCACCAAATTCTCCTCCTGAACAATATTCCTGAGTGCAATCACACCACTGGAAACGTGATTTTCCATCTCAGGGGCCAAAGAAGTTGTTCATTGAAACACCGCTAGGGTTGTGTTATCTTGAAAATCCTCACCTCATACACAACAGCAGGCCACTGATACGCACATTCGTCGGAAGGATCTGGTGAATACGTGCTTTGTACTTGATGATAGAAACTGTAGTGTTTCAATGAAACAACATCTTGCATTGTTTATGCCCACACAAACTCCCAGATATACTATACTTACTCGCTGTTTAGTGTGTGACTGTGCCTAGAGAGTTGCTGCATAAGCCCTCCCAGCACAAGTCAGACCTCACCATGGCAAACCGTTCTAGGGACCTGAACTTAAATAGGTAGCTACTACCCAATCTGAGTTTTGATTCATTCCCTCACCCCCATTGGTTGCCACCCCGCCAGAGCTAGTCCCAACCTTTACAACCTTAAAAATGCCCACCACTTTTCTTTTCAATCAAACCCAACTTCAAGTAATTAAAGCTATGCAAGATAGAATTGATTGTGTTGTAGAGAAGATCGAGCTCCCCCCTGACAGTGAACCTACTCCCGCTATAGTCCAAGGCAACTGGTCCGGTGACTGGATCAATTGGAATCATTGTTATCAACTACAACAAAAGCTTTATGCCGATGCTCACGACCACCGGATCCCCCAATGGGCTGTTCCAAACGTAAACACTACCTGGAACGCTAGAAGAAACCGACTTGGAAGAGGTTTGGCCTTGATATGTTCTCCGCTTAATCACAGTGGTACTTACTAATTTTTTGTGCATCCACAGGGCCCCTTCAGTTTGTAGACCAAGAGAGCAACAACACAATCGGCATTACCTTAGCTTCTGGCGTTGGAGCCAATAATTCCTAGGTCTCTGCTATCTCACTAAGGTAAGGCCAACTTAACAAATATTTACTGGTTCCTATCTTGGTGCTGACGAAACCTATCATTTTGATCCAGATACTTCTGATTTCCTGGAAACATACAACTCTCATACTTCTTCCCCAGTTCTATTAACTTCAGTAAAGAATATGTTTTAACCTTGTGTTACCCAACCAAATTCCACCAATGAAGCGATTTTTTTCTGAAAATCTTGTGATTGTGTTGCTTCATTCCCCTTCCTCCCAAGACCCCAAGTAAACATACCATCCAACAGACAGCATGTTGTTTGATGATGCTACTTTAGTTAAGATGCCCACCGCATTATGGTGTTCTCTTAAATCTCATCAGATATCAATACATACAATTGTAATGTGGTGATTTTTTTGGCTGGTACCTCTTGGGAACTGCATTTGCTTCCAACCAGAAGGTGATTGGTTAAGATTCCATGCCAAGATGCCGGTTGGGTGTGTTGGCATGTACATACAGGTGCAGGATATATAGTATGTTGATAGGTGGCAGCATGTTGTATCACAATTTCACATCCATGTCAGCCACTCAGGTACGGAACAGGTACGGTGTCATGAAAACGTACGCGCGTACGTTTTCATGACATGAAAGCGACCTCCACCCCATACCACACAGAGAGCACAACACAACCAAACAATACACACAGTTTAACAAACTCCCTTTCTTGTACTCCCATTCATACACAGTGCGTGAAAGTCAGATGCCCTTTGAAAGTCAGGACACAAAGGGAGTACCATCCAACAACTCTCAATCCCAACTGATGTTTATATAAGAGGGTTGCTAAGCTCTCCCCCCCAGCCTTTCCCCCAGGCCAAACTCATCATCCCACAATGAAAACTATCACTAAACCTCACCTCAGCAGTGACACCCCTCTCAACAGTACCCGAAAAGTCAACAGTTTATATTCCGTAGTCCTACCAAAGTCAACCTCTCCTTTATGTCGATCCATTTCCTCCTTCACCCGCACGCTGCTCGAGCTGAACATCAAATCCTCTGAAGCATGGAGGGTTTTTCCACCTGAACAAGATTTCCAGGCTGCATCAAGCCTTCCCCACTCCATTTTAATCCGTCCTATCAGCAAAATTCCAGAAAGTGCCGTGAACCTCAAAAGCGAGAAGATCCCCATATTGTTCCGAGTACTCTACCTCGAAGATCTTACTGCGTCCGGTTTTCCTGGTGCCACCTTTGCCTGGCAACATCCCTGGGAATCAGGGTGGAACCAGTTGATAGCTCACTTTATTCTCAAACACTGGCGACACGCCCACCAGCATGGGGTTTTCAAGCTATTCTACATTGATCCTGTAGAAGCTTCAAATCAAGAACTCCATATGGGAACTTTGCATCGATGGTTTCTTGGTCGCGCGGAAGGTCTTAGGTTGGGCAGGTTCTCAGGAATTCGCGTCAATAACAAAAAAAAATCCGAGTTCAAATCCAAGTTGAGAAGCCAGGTACGGAATTTTAAGCCCTCACTCAACATGTTTATCATCCTAGCTTACCCCGTACCCCAATTCCATCTCTCAGCTTCAGAAACACCGCCAACAAACACTCTCCACCCTAGACATATCCGAGGAGAACAAACTGCTGTTTGGTCCAATAAAATGCTCATCTGAAACCGAAAAGCAACCAGACAAGTCACTTGTCAAAGTTCCCCTCTGGTGGAGGTCCTCCGAATTCAACCTTCTCGCTGAAAAACTTGACAAAATTCATATACACAAGAAGACAAACACCAAAGGCCCCAAATATGTACAAAGTTATACGATTGAGAATCGCCAATCAAGCCACACGACCCCCGCTCCTCCCACCTTCTCTGATGTTCCAACAAATCTTCCAAGAAACTGCTATTCACCGGAATACATAAATACACTATCTGATACACAAAAACGACTGCTCAACCCTAAACCTTCCATCAACTTTGCTACACTCTTCAGTGAAATCGATAGATTTGGTGAGATCATCTCTCTGTATTTCACCCACTCAAGTTACTCATCAATAACTGAGCAGACTTGTACTCTTCATCACCCCCCGAAGGAACACTCAGCCTAGAAAAATTTCAGCCGGTTTAAATCAGCCACAATGACAGTATCACTTACTCTTAGGGCATATGTTCATCTGAGAAAACCTACATTGCCAACTCTCCTTTCCTTCTCTGTATTTGATGTATATTCATCTCCAGCGTGCCATGTACATAGTACCTATATACATTCACCGGGTTTGCCTGCCCTAGGCGGTAGAGACGGTCGACAGCCTGTGCCTCCATGGCTGGATTCCAGTTTGGTTCCTGAAAAGAAATATAAGTCTACATTAGATCTCCATACATGTGGTTCTTGCCTCTATTCTGCATACTCACCATAATATAAACATTTTGAGCGCATCTCAAATCAATCCCCACCCCTGCTGCTGTAATCGAACCCAGCAGAACATTACACTCTGTATTTCCTCGAAAAACATCCAGGCTTCTGTCACGCTGTGTAATACTCATTTCCCCAGCAAGCCAAGTGCACTTTATCGTGTTTGCTAGCAGCCCATTTTCGATTCTTGTATGATAATGAAAAATATTTTTTGTCAGTAGAAGAAATAATATGCATCTTGCCTCAAATGTCTGCCAACTCACATCTTCAAGAAGCCTACATAGCTTGAGAATACCACTGACTTTGGTGTTCTTCCGTAACTTCCTTGACCAGCCAATTCTTTGAGTTTAGCGACAAGGTGAACCGCCTTCGCAGACTGATTCCATCTCCATTCCCCTCTATAATCAATCTCCTCCCTTGCAAAAAGTGGGTGATTACAGAATTGTTGAATCCGTGTAAGTTGCCGGAAAAATTCACCAAAATTCCAACCTTCCTCCGAAGATCTGAATCTTCCGAATCTCGTGACAAAAGTCTGATGCAGTTCCTCCGATATTTTCAACCAGTCGGAGCTAAGATGGACTACCACGGCACGTTCCGTCTTTGGCGGCAGGTTCAACAAGACATCCTTCGTCCTCCTCAAGCATATTTCCTCCATGAGCCGGTTTATGTTATGAGCTGTAGAGGACTGGAACTGGGGACGTTACATATGTAGAGAGCCTGTTACGTACATGTCACGAACTTCGAACTTGGAGTTCGTTCGAGATCCGAACCTTGTACATTCCTCATCTTGCAATCTACCATTACGAACCAGAACCTAGAAGATCCCGTCCTGCTCCCCTCAGACCGACCCTAACAGTTTAACGATTTTGTAGCTTGGTCAGAACCAACGTTTATGTTTGGTATCAGGAAATTCTTCCATATCCATTCTTCACTCCACGGTTGGATCTTCAGCAGTTGTACCAGGCTTTGAAGGTCTGTCAAGCGGTTCTGTAGGGGAGTCCCAGTTAGACATAAGAAAAATCTGGCTCTGAGGCGTTGGATAAGCTGGGTCCTCGTAGAACCCCGGTTCCTGATCATACTGCATGTTACACTCCATCAGTATTTCTCCCGCCAAATCACCCTTCTCATACAAGAAAAAGTTGTACTCACTGAGCTTCATCTAATACTATCCTGAACCAATTAATATTCAAATTCTCGATCATCGGCCGGCTGGTTGAGGTGTTCCCAGCTGTTCCAATCATCTCATATGTTGTCAACACAACCATTGAAGATAGAAACTGCTCATATTTAATCTCTTCGCGATTTGAGCCGTGGAAGACACAGTACGGTATTGCTTGCGCCCTAAAATGTATATGGATCTCGTTTTCCCAGTTAGATAGGGTCGCCAGAGGACATATGATAAGTGTGGCCGCAGAAGTTGCTGCTGTCCCGTCCATGTTAGAATGCCGAAAATTTACGCCCAATTGGCTAGTCGCTAGAATAAACATCAATGCGGTCAAAGTCTTTCCAAGCCCCATATCATCCGCAAGTATTGATCCTCGTGGTCTCCGATCTTCACTGCTAGTTTGCGGTTCAGTCCAATCTCCTACATTATTCCTGATCCAGTTGTTGTCTGAGTGATTCCAGACTTGTGAAATCGTGTCTCCCTCTGACTCGTTCTTCTTCAGAAATCTGAGGGCGCTCAGTTGGTGATCTTTTAATTTTGTTTTGCACTGGAAGAGGTATGGCTGGAGCCATCTGAAATTTTCAGATTGTACGTGTTGATGATCGCTTGACGTAAATAGTGGTATGTCAAAGAAAAGGCTTTGGTTGTAGTTCCAAATTGGCAGGATATCAATACCTGCCCCAGAAAAAGCAGAAAGAACCGTTTGAACATCCTTCGACCGACTGAAAACACATGCACGGAGTTGAGAATGTGTTGAACTCTTTGTGATAACGAATGCTTGAAGTTTGATCAACGACTCTTCCAAATCAGAAAATTTGGCCTCTGTCATCCGAGTCGAACAGCCACCAACAGGCCCCAACAACTGCCCAACAAACCTGCTTTGAATCTCGCTGAGATCCCCAAAAGACAAGCCTCCTGCACCCAACACATGGACTCGGCGGTTCCCTCGCTGAAGGAATACGACTTGAAGAACATCGGCAGGGGGAGAGATTGTGGTTCTGGAGGGAAATGAGATGAGGATTTGACCGAGGCAGAAAACAACAGCCATAATGAATTGAGAAATTAAATTTTGACAAGTTCACTATGACTAGGAATGCAACCACAGGAAAATATCCCAGGTCGGAACTTGTTGCCTCTTCTGAGTGGATGTAACAGCTGTGCTTTATTTGGGATAACACATGGATCCCTGTTTGGCCCAGACTGAACCCATACTCGCAACATGGAAGTATAAAGGAGATATTGGGGGGGCATCCCACCAGTGTGTATATACATCTTAGTGGTTACTTCGACCAGCAGAACACAGATTATTCTCAACAAAGTAGGCATATTAAAAGTGTATGTTGTTCTTGCTGACATGTCTGGTGCTAGTTGCTGGGTCACCATACCCGGTCTTTAATTGCCGATGGAGCATAGCTTGTTGCACAAACAGATCAATTCTTGCTGGTTCGGTTGTTGGTACTACTCAAGACAAACAACCAGCACAGCAGTATTGTTGTGAATTTTCTGATGAGGTCAGTCTTCATACTTATATCGATTAGGGGATGTGAGGTATAACTAAGAATATGAGCTAATCACAATATGTAGAGGGCTCTTTATTATATTGCTTGAGTATTGCATAGGAGTTCACACAGGCCAAACCTTGGTATGATCAAGGTTTAAGGCTAAGTTATGCAAGACTCATGGCTGAGTTGCACCCGAAATCAACTGATGTTGGGACCAGGTTGACCAAAATCTGGCCAAAGTTGCACCTCTCATGCGCTCAGGTTCAGACCAAAGTATTCATTAAATTACAAGAAGGCACTCGCATGCAAGTGCCTTGGAAACATCCGTGGTGAACCTTGTTCTGATGAATTTAATCATGTTCAATGAAGACTATTGGTGCCACAAGTAAGACAACAAAGACACTCTAGCCGCGTTTGTTGGATCAACAATCTTAGGCCACCCCACTCCAATCCAAACTCTACAAACCTACCTTACGTGAAACAATCTGTGTCAGCCACAGAGTACATGTCACAGTATCTTACATGTACCAAGTAACTGCAACACCTGTACTTATCCATAATGTTGATTACCTTTACCTCTTGTTATCTTATCATTATCTTTAACTTATCTTAATTTACATTATCCTATCTGATTAATTACTTATCTATTAAATACATACATGTTTCATACATAAGTAATTATCACTTACCTTTCACTCCTTTAACCGTGAAATACCTGTACCACAAGTTATCCCTGTTCTACAGTATTTTCACAGTCAAATACCTTTATAAATAAATATGTACATGCTTTGAATGTTAAGTATCAATTAATCATTGAATGAATACAATCAATACATGTACTGATATTAATAATGACTTCATTGTTTATTGTGTGATCTTAATAATGACTTCATCATTAATTATCCTTGTCCTCAAAGTCATCACGGACAAGAATCATTACAAATAAAAATGTGCATGTATTATTTGCATATTATTGATTACCAATTGAATTAATACAATCAATACATGTACTGATCCTTATTTGTTATTTTATTTGAAAGATCTGTTAGCTGTACAGGTCAAAAATACTATTTACTGATCCTCTAGTAAATACTATGACAGATCTGAACAGATCATTACAAATAAAGATCAGTTACTCAATTAACCCTGCTCTTCCTCTTGGTACTTTCACCCATGATTAAGAGCACTTCTTCATTTCCTCATGTAATATTCTGGAACTTATAATCTGTGCCACTTCCACTGATTAATCCCCAGAATATTCAGACACCAGTTAAACCAGTTAAACATTTATGTTGATACTTTTACACATAACCAACATAAATCTAGTCTATATTTATTGTTCTTAAGCTTCAGTCAACAACTCAAGTTATCTACAATATTCATAGCCTTGCTGAATATTCCCTTCAACAATACCTATTAATCTTTGACTAATTTTGTTAAAGCTTAATAAGTATTGTTAGCCCATTCCCTTTTGGGAATAACCAAATCAATCCCAGGTGAGTCTTATTAACCTGGATGCCTATTAATACCAGGTATTGATCCAGATGTGCTGTATATAGCAAGCCTCTCATTAAAGACCATACTGATAGAGTGAAACCTCCTCATTACAGGACTGGTATTAACACCCACTACCTACCACTCAACATGCTCAAAAAACTCAGTCAACTCATAGTAACAACCTTTCTACCAATAAACACTCAGGTTAGTTACCCAGAGGCTGACAATCTGGCTGGTCATCTTCAATTGAGTAGTGCCTGGGATCACTTGCAAATGGTTGGTAATGATTGAGCATTGTAACCACTATGGGTGTTGATTTTCAGACCTTTGAGGCATTTTTAGAAAATTTTAATGCAGCATTGGATAGGGTGGGTTTGTTGATCAGGGGAAGTTGATGGTGCCATCTTGAAGAAGTCAATTGGAGATGGTAGGAAGAGGGTATGAGAACCAATCAAAAGAGGATATGAGAGCCAATTGGAGAGGAGAGTAGTGCTAAGTAGGAACCGAGGGGGGATGGGGCTGGTGTTAATCAAAGGTCATGTAAATTTATTTTATCTTTACAGGCTGTAAAAATAGCTTTACAGGTCCTGTAAAATTGACAGGAAGACCTCCATTGTCATAAACAATTATGGTAAATATTTTGAGAGTTAATAACTTATGAAAGGCAATCATGAATATGTTTGAGAGCACTTCTTATGTATACTCACATATGACAGAAGCAAAGAGCATGTTACAGCTATTGTAGGAATGTTTGCGCTGAATGCTGATTTTGAACTTTTTTTTTCTTGCAATTTTTTTTTTCCTCCAATCCTCAAAGCCCCAAGCCCGTTGGGTAAATTTGAAGGAAATTACTTCCCAATTCTCATGACCAACTCAACCAAAAAAAATGTGTGACTTTGGTCAATTGGGTGAAATTGGGTGGCTTTGCAATACTTTGCAAAGTTGGGGCGGGGCTTCAAGGATCAGGGGCAAAAAAAAATTGTGTGAGAAAAAAAAGAAGTGCAAAGGGTGCAATCATTTACACAATAGCTGTATATCTCCCTGTTATTTAGAAAAATTTGATTTTTCCCTTAAAATCTTGGGTTGTAATTTCTTATCCTTTCCTCCCAAAATATCCCTGTTTCCTCTGGTTTGTATACCATCCCCTCTGAACAGCACCATGCCTTCCTCTCCTCCTAAATAGCCCTTCTAACTATCCCATCCCAGAATTTTGCACCAAACAGCCGCATCAATTTTGATGTGGATTATTAGGCTGCATCATTTGCACAGCCTAGAGTTGTGAAACCTAAATTTTGATTTGAAATTTTTGTATAAAACTCTTACAATTTTGGAAGGCCAAACAAGGCCTAAAGAAACTGGAAGAAACATGTTCAATCCTCATTGATATGCTGACAGTGTATTAAAAAATGGTTACTGAATAGTGTTCATTACCTGAGTCTAAGAGAGGTAACATAAAGAGATATCTAGTTAGTCTATTAGAAATGTGTGTTTAAATTTGCCTCAGGGGGGTCTGGTAAGAAACAGGAGAGACACAAATGTGCTAAATCTAGGTCTGTGGCATGAACATATATTCAATATCAACTGAAACACAAGGTTGTTTATAGCTTACATGTGCAGAAGATACTTTGACTGGTGCAACTTAAAAAGAATTAAAAAGGCCAATAGCAACACCATCAACAGTCAAACTGGTAGAAGGGAGCTTAACTTGAAATCTGAAACAACCTTCTGTCAACCCCATCCTCAAAAACTGCGTTCAAGCCCCTCTGTACACTAAAATGAAAAATTTGATGATCCCCACCTTCCTGGCATTGGCTTCCCTTTGTATATTCTCTCCCTTGAATACTTGTGCTGCTGTGGACCCACAATACACCATCTTGGAGCATGACCCAAATGCACAAAAATGTCCACATTGTGGTCTAACCCATAATGAGGGGTGTGGTAGACTTGAAATATGAATCATGATCTTAAATATTGAAAAATTAGGGGATGAATAAACATACCCCCTTTTCTGCTATCCACACCCGGTTTTTCACACACGCTTTGTTGAGGTGTCTGATAGTCTGCTACCATGATGTATCACTACATGTCAAACCATGTGCAGTACCACCCAACCACCCTGGCAGTCACAAGCGTCTGTAGCCTAGTTGGTAAAGGCAGCACTCTAGTATGTGTCTCATCTTAGACCATCTCCACCCCAAAGAGGCATCCGAGTTGGTATACTTACCAGCTCGGGAGCTTCAGCGTGTGGATAGCAACCCTGGGAAAAATTATTTTCCACCGCAGGTTGCTATCCTCAATGCCTCGCGCGTGAAAGGCTAGTCAATAGGGGGGGGGGAACTCCGGATTTCACCAGGATTGACCTGTGAAACCGTTGGGTTGGGGAGGTACTTGGGTTGGTATAGCGATTGCACATCTAGCAACGCTATACCTCCCAAGGGGGGGAAAACTAAATTTACCTCCCCTTTAGCACCCCCGGTGGCAGGGGAATTTTGGGCTTGGGGAGGTAAATTTGGTTTACAACCGCAGTTTACCTCCCCGGGTGGAGATGGTCTTAGCTGAGGTTGTGAGTTCAAATCTCACCAGACACATCTTCATTTTGTCTGTCTTTACACGCTTCTCTGCTTTTACACCCAGTTTTTCCCAGCCTTGGCAATTAATCTTTTAGAAATTTTAAATATACTGAAAATCTTCTAAAATTGAATGTTCTTTTTGGGTATATAAAAAATTCTCAAAAGAGAAATTTTAATTTTAATTTATTCTAGGGCGTTAATAAAAAAACACGGTAAATCCGCGTTTACACGCGGTTTCTGCTGCGCGCAGCACACGCGGATTCCGCGTTTGCACGCGGTTTTTAATTTAATTTTTTTACCACTTATTTTTCGAGTTTTTTTGAATTTTTAAAACTGTTTCCTATGTTTCAAAGTGCATAGAGTTTAATGGTAAAAACCCTTTTTCATAAAAATGAATTTTGATTATTAATTTTTTTTCACTCATTTTTTCAATTAAATGTTTGCATTAATGTTTTTAACTTATTTTTAATGTTTTTTTG